GGCCGTCATTACTTTTCTCCTTGCCCTGTCGCCAAACCGGCACCTTCCGATACCCCTTAACAAAAACTGTCGCTCTTAACCTTCAGGGCGGTGTATAAATTGTCTCTAAGAGGACCCGGACCCGAGCTGTGAAAGGGATGCGTGGCTCCGCTCCTCCGCAGTGCTCCGGGCTCACAGGGTCGGTGTCCGTGCACCGGGGGCTGCAGCCTGGCGTGCCCCGGCCTTGCGCGGGTGTCTGCGCTCCGCTGGGGCATCTCGGCGCTCCCGGGAGGTGAGAAAACCGAGACAAGCACGTCTGAGAGGCCGGCGGTAAAGGTGTGAGCGGGGAGAGGGCACCCACACTTTCATTGCACGTTTAGAAACCGCATTGGTGTGGCAGCGGTTTCCCAGTTGCGCAGGGCTGCTGTCGGGACAGCGCCCGATGTACAGGAGTTGATGGAGCAGGAGTTTGCTGGCTGCCCCTTTTTCCTGTGATGGATACTGGTTTGTAAAACTCTCAGTCGGGAATGCAAGCATTGTTGCTGCTGCCACCTGTGAGTTTTTAGTCGTTTTCATATCAGTTTTCCCACCGTGATAAAAAGCACAGCGGAGGAGCAGAGGCTGAAGGCCGTGGCTCTGCGTGCCTCTTCCGCACTGCCACCTTCCTCCTCCTCACGGGCTGTTATTTCTGGAACCTCCTTGAACTCCTGCACTGCTCTTGCACCCTTCCCTGCTTGCAGTTTCTCATCAAAACAAACTACTTCTGAGCATGGTGAGTCATATTAGAGCGAGAAAAACGGCAAAACCTTTCCGTTTCATCGCTCGCTGGCTGACCCTGTAATTTTTATCTCGAGTATCCTCTTTGCGCTCAGCCTCTTGCTTTTGTACTCATCTCCTGTTGCTGTAATTTCATACTAATAGCATTTTGCTTTGGGTTGTTATTTTTCCAGCAGGTAGGACTTTTTGGGTTGGTTTTTCAAGTGCGGGATGTATTAATAGCAGCAGCACACTGGTGTTAGTTACCAGCTCCGGAGCTCGTTTTAAAGCGCTGCGGCGCGTAACCTCAAAACCCAATTAACCAGACTAGCTACAGCAACAAAACCACCTGCACTCTCCAAAAACTTACGAAAATTGTTGCAGAGAGTGTGGTTCCCGGTGGCTTTTGTGGGCTGCCAGTCGGCCGCTAGCCTCTCAAAACTTGTTGTACAGGGTAAGCTCTCTGCTGTTAATACAAACCTTTCTTCTCGAAGGCTGAATAAAATTGCGCTGGAAATCATTAGAATATTAAGTGGTAACTTAGAGCGGTGGATCGGTAATTAGCTTTTATGGTTATGGCAGCCTTTGTGAGTGCTTTTGGCAAAGCAGGGGAAAAAAAAAAAAGCTGAAAATCATGCCCTGTCCTGCCTCGGATTTCATTATTGTAATGCGGTTTATTAGCTTGGGTTTGGGTTTTTTTTTTTTCTCCAACAGAAAAATATGCTCTGCAGCATTAGGTGGGGTTAGTCGACAAGCACGCTGCTCGCTAAGGCAGCAAAATTAGCAACATGATATAAGTGGTTTGCCTTTGCAAAAGTACGCTCATCCTGAGCCTCGTACCCTTTGCTCCTTATCGTGCCGTTCCTCATCGTGCTGCTGGCGGGGCCTGAGGCTTTCCAGCACGTCTCGGCTTTTCTCAGGACAAAAAGGGCACACAGAACAGTGTGGGAGGGGCGTGTGCGCACACAGATGCTTTTTCTTGTAAAAGTTGAGAAGTAATATTTTAGGTGGGACTATCATGCATAACTTGTCGGGGGAAATCCCATCCGAAAATAATCTAGTAATTTTTTTTTGGTTTAACCACTGATATGGACGCGTGTTATCTTTACAGTATTTGTGCGTGGAGTAGGATCCGTCAGCAGTACGGAGGGATGGCTCAAAAAAGCGGTTGACTTGCTACTCGCTGGGTGGAACTTGCCATCCAATGGCATGAAAGCATCTTAAATTTTTTTCCCCCAATGATGAGAGTAAGCAGAAACCTGAATTTATTCCCCTGCAACGTTGCCGGTTAAGATTAAATGTGTGATTTTTAAGAAGCTGGGGTTCAATGGACTGCACAGACAGCAGGATCCTAGATAGCCTTTATACATCTGGGCATACACGATACAGTCCCGGCTGGTTTTCCTCTTGTAACATCCTTCCTGTGCTACGCGCAGTGCCGGCGTTAGGGAGCCGTATCTCACGGCGTGGAGATTTCACCCGGACTGAGCCGTTGGCAGCAGTGGCCAAAGCGCGGCCACGAAAAGGGGGGTGGCAGGACCCCTGACGTCAGGGCTTGCTGCTGAAAGGGGCTCCTTGTAGAGAGCTGCCTCTCCTGATAGCCGGCTGACTCAAGTCATTCGTGGCTTGGTAAGCACAGCCAAGGCTGCAAAGATTGGATAAGTCTGGGAAAGAAAATTTCTGTAATCGGGTTTTTTTGAGTAGTTGAACCAGTCCAAGAATCGGTTGTTGACTGCGGCTTAGGGCCTAGAGTGAGTATCTTGCCAAAGTGGCCTGTGCAGCGGGGGCAGGAGCAGCGATAGCAGCCTCTTATTCTGACACCGTATTGTCCGTGAGAAATGACACGCGCAAATGGCATGTGCGGCCAGACTTAAAATAGCCCCTCGCCGATGCCCCAGGAACACGCAGCCTCCTTATATGTCCTGCTGCACATGCCGCTGCTGCCGGGGGGAGGGGGTGCCCCTTCCCACCGCAGGTGCCGTGCATCCGACAGCAGGGAGAGCGTTTCCTCTCAGGCCTGCCGACGTCCTCCTGAGGGTACAACAGATTGAGCGTTCGTCGGTAAATTTAGGGGAAAAAAAAATTGAGTATGATGTTCAGGCCAATGTTGGTATTGCCATCGAGCAAGCGTGGCTGGGGTTTTGTGTCGATCTGTCAGTAAAAAGGAAAGAAGGAAGCGATACGCCAGTGAGCCCGCGGCAAGCCTTGCAGAAACAGCTTGATGTCTGTCCTGGTCACCTTTTCACGTGAGCTTTCTTTATTTCTTGCACATAGGATTGCCAGATGCTTTTAAACCAGCTGAAAGAGATCACAGGAATTCAAGATTCGGCTTTCCTTCACGCGGCTCTAAAGGTTTGTGCCTGTTGTCATTGTTCTGTGGAAAGGAGAGCTCTGAGTTTGTCCCAAAAGTCAGGCAAGTTCAGGCTCTCTTGAAACATAACGCGCGGCTTGGATGTTCGCTGGCGTGGCTGTGGGCTGATCATGAGCTCGTCCTCGCTGAAATAGCCGGTGCGCGGCCTGTGAAAGCAATATGGTGCGTGCTGTGTGGAATAACGTGGTGCATGTGAGAGGTGAGGGGTAAATCCTCCGCTGCTTTTCTGCCCTTCGCTTGTGCTTTGTTCGGGCCTACCCGTGAGGCGGACAAGAAGTACGCAAGGCCAGCATTTGTTGGTGTCAGCAGGGAACGGGCAGTTTTGGGGCTCATACGTATACATCCACGTCTGAAACAAAAACGCCACGCTAAGTTGAGAACGGTTCATTTTTCTAACAGCAGAGCTTAAAATCTGTGCTGTGGCAGCGTGTGCTATGCTAAAACATCGTAAACATTTCCTGGAAGTTCTGCTGCTACAGGGCTGTTGTTACCCACGCCTTATGGTAAACACAAAGGGAGTGGGTCAGAGTGGGTTTTTCTCCATGTAAGCTGTTTCAGGGGTTCTGGACAGCTGCAATAGTGTCGGTAGCTTTGTGGCTGGGGGCTGTCTTGTCCGTGTCTGGAACAGCTCCAAAGCGAAGGGACGCAGGAATCTCAGGCACTTGGAGAAGCAACATTTACCTGGAAAGATTCTTCGTCGTAGTGCATGGTTTGGTATTTATAAACTGTGGTCTTACACTGGTTGCGGCCGCATCCGTCTGGGATCGTCAGATGCCGTCCGTCCTCTTGAGATGTAGCAGCAGGATGTGGATTGTGCTCGTAATACACAAAGAGATTTGTTTAAAAAAAATCCTCAAATGTTTCCCTAAGAAGTAACATCCAGAAAACGCTAGAATAAATTTAAAGGAGATTAGCCTGTAGCGATGGTCTGAAGGAAGCCCTGGCTCGGCGAGAGACATGTCTCTCGAAATCCATGAAGAGTTTGATTCCTGCAAGTCTCTCCTGGTGGCAAAGTACCCTGTCGCGCTTCGGGCCTACCGCGACTACTCGAATCTCTTGTGAGGGAAATTAAATTAGTTAATGGGGTCTGCTCTGTCCTAGTAATAAAGCCAAAGTGCTTTCCGACAGAGAAATTCTACCCTTTGTTTTCATTTTTTTACTACTGCTTGTCACCAACAGATTGCTCTCTCTCCCGTAGCTAGGAAAAGCAAAGTTGGTGGCGGTGTGCCTGTCTCAACCACGGATGCATTAAAATGTTGTGCAAATGTAGATGAAGTAAACCTGACGCTACGGATTTTTTTTCCCTTATCGTTCTACTAGGCTGCTAATGGAGACCTAATGGAAGCGGTCACCTTCCTGACAGAGGAGCACGCTCAGGAGCCAGCTCAGGACGCGGCTGCCGCAGAGCCCTCCGCTTGGGAAGGAAGCGCTGTGGGCAAACAGCTTCCACAAAGTAAGTCCTTCGTCTCTGCTCGCCCTTATGGTTTCATGCGTTTCGGCCTGAGCCAAAAGGGGAAGTATCGATCCTCCCTGCTTCTGCCAGTGAATCCAATCGGCCCCTGTCCTGGCACCGATTGGATTTTACCAGTACTGGTCACTTGCTGCTGCGGGACCGTTTGGGCAGTTAAACCTTCCTGGTGAAGGAGAGCTGTATCTGAAAGGAAAGCGACTGTTTAGTAGTAGTTAGACATTTTGTAGATGGCACATCATAGTTACAGAGCTATCATCATCTTAAGCGGTTGGTCTTGGCTAACACAGAAAACCCAGGAAGCTCCTAAAGCACAGGGGAAGCGGAGTAGAGAACCGAGTCCCTGCCGAGGCATACGTTTCTTTCTACAGCACCTGCTGGCCGAGCAGGCAAATTGAGTGTTTAGTGTCATGTTGTCATGAAAACGTAAAACGTTATTTGATCTAGCAATTAGACGGCCTGAAAAATGTCTTTATACATGTCACAGGTATTGGCCAAAGCAGGCCGTTGGTTTGGCACATTTAGATTTAAAAAGCGTAATTGTAGCCTGAGGTAGTTGAGAATAGTTTCTTTCAACCTTTTTGCTAATGACACTGCTATTAACTGGAGCTTTCTCAAGTGATACTATCACCGGACAGGTTCACAATGCCAAAAATCCGTGGTGGGAGCTTTGAAGCAACACCCGAAACGGCGCGACTGCCCTTTGTTCCACTCTGTGAGGCTTCCACCTCTTCCAGAACTACTCGTTTTCCTTTCTCCTCCTTTCCTACATAGCTGGTACATTAAGTGAAGGCAGGCAATTCCAGGGTGATTGCGCCGGTGCTATCGAAATCGTTTATTTCTTCAAACAGCGTCAGCTGTCAATGCTGATGTCGATTCCAGGGTGATTGTGCCCATGCTATCGAAATCCTTTATTTCTCCAAACAGCGTCAGCTGTCAATGCTGATGTCAAGGCGTAGCAAATATAAGCAGCAGCTGATGTTCCTGTTTCATTATTTCAAGGGGTTTGAAATGTTCCCTCAAGCTCCAAATTTGGCTGTAAGGAAATCTGGCCGGTACACAGCTGAGTGGTCTGTCCTGTTCTCCCCATCCAGCCCACTCGATGGCTTTTCAGGTTCCCTCGCATGATCCAAGCTACAAAGGTTCATATTTAAAACTGAAGCTAGACAATTATGCTCACATCAATTGAAAAGTCGTATTTGTGAAGCATCACATTTTCTAGAAGTTCCTTTTAAAGAGAACGTTTGCCTGCTCCTGATGGAAAACTGATCAGAACGCTGCCTCCACTTCTAGATGTTGCTTCTGCGCTTACCCCTAACAACAAAGACGACCTCCGCGCAGTCGACGCCTTCGGACCACTGGAATCACCAAAAGCTCGGGCTGCAGAAGGAGATGCCACTGAAAGGTCAGTAAATTGGGTTTGGTTTTCCTGGGTATGGTAAGTGGATTCTTAAGCTGATACCTGCAAAAGAAACGTAGGTCACCTACCAGATGTATACCTACTGCTTTTAGAAGGTGCTTGGATCGTTAGAATCGTAGAATAATTTCGTTTGGAAAGGACCTTTAAGATCATTGCTGCCTTCTGCGTAGCTGACCTTTACGTCTGGGGCAGTACTGCAGCACAATGGTTGAAACGGGAAAAGCAGGTTTAGTTGTGGTTTATTCAGTCCCCGCTGCTGGTGCCGACACGCCACGCAGAAGGATGCTGTACTGGCTTCTCTGTGAGGCGATGTTTTACAGCACGGTGTGCGTCTTTTATGACAGACCACAGGAAGCGCATTCCGCTGAAAACAAAAATCGCCCCAAAAGGAAACGCTGTGAAGTCTGGGGAGAGAACCCCACGCAGAATGACTGGAGAAGAGTGGACGACTGGCCCGTTGGGATGAAAAATATTGGAAATACGTGTTGGTTTAGCGCTGTCATACAGGTAATCTTATAGTAAAGTTCTTCTGGAGTTGCTGCAATCTTGGAGTCAAAATGTTTATCACTCTAGAATTAAATAGGCAGCAGCTCTGTGAAGTGCTCATCTGTGTACGATGACTGAATGTGGCCGCGCTCAAACGAGAATTTTGGTTTTATTCGATGTGATTGTGATTTATTCTGGGCGTGCACAGAAAGAGCCAAAGAGCAGTTAAATAGACTTTGCGTAAAAATAGATAGCGATGCATGTAATCTACGTGTACGTATGCAGGGTTTTTTTTGGTGCAGCGATGTCCAAATGCTTACTGAATGACATGAGCTTGACTGGCAAAGCGAACCGATAATTTAATTTTACTGCAGTTATTGTTGGCTCCATGATACGTGGTGTATCATATTCCAGTTAATGGAATACACTGGCATAGATGCTTGAACAAATAAGCAACTCGGCGGCGTATATTACTAGTGATAACCTAAACAAGAAGAGACAGCAGTAAGTGGAACTGAGCAGATTTGTCTCTTCTAACCGTTTCACATCAGCAGATAGATGTTAATCATACGTCTCCAGCTTTGAGGGGAAGTAAGAAAGCTTCGGATGGACTCCTTTCTTGCTGCGAGTTGTTCCTGGATGCTTTTTCTGAGCTTACCTATGCAGAATAGAATGCTCTTTCCTAAAACAGTTATATATGGCCTAGAAATGGCAGGATGAGACTTTGTTCTTTGGCGGCTATGAATGTGCTGGTCCGGCACACAGACTGCTCGCTTTGTAAACATTTGTTTAGTAACACCAGGCCGTTGAAGAATTAGAAGTTAACAAAAAAGCTGTCGAGTGAAAGAGCAGCAACGGGGCATCAAATTGTAGCGAGTCAAATCCTCAAAGATGCTGACTGGTCTTTACCTCTCCTTTCCTTTCAGTCTCTGTTTCAGTTGCCAGAATTTCGGAGGCTGGTCCTTGGGTACTCCCTCCCACAAAACGTGCTTGAGAGTTGTCGTAGTCGCGCTGTAAGTTTTCATCGAATAACGTTGTAAACTTTCCCTCTTTTGTGGCATGCTGTTCTGCTCTTTCTCTAAGCCGATTTAATCTGGGGCCATCTGAAACTGCCCTGCCTATGTTAATGGCTTTCAAATTGTCGAGCTACGTTAAAGACAAATTTGGGAAATACTTTTCAAAGGCAGAATCACTGTAGAAAAAAACCAGGCATTTCTTGTAAAGCTTGCCTCTCGAGCTTCTAACTGTGGTGTGGGGAGAAATTCATCCCTTGGAACTTCTCTGGTAGCTCCAGACTGTTCGTTCCTTCGCATGCACCATAGGAGAACTGGTATTTGAGCCTGGTCTGAAGGTCTCTCTAGCCCCAGTACCTTCTGAGAGCAGTCAGCAGAAGGTGCTTTGGAAATATTTCGAGAAAAAGGCACGCATGGGATAATCCTTCGCTTGTTACATCGTTCTAGCTTGTGGCCATCGCCGTTTAAGAGCCTTTGCTTTGCCTGCTTCGTGTGTGCTTTTGATACTCTAGGAAACCACAAATGCGGACAATAAATTCATAAATTCACCAGCTTTTGCCTTCCGTTTTAGCAACTGCTGCTTCTGGCACTCTTTTCTCTAAAGGTTTTTGTTTCGGTTAAATATGCGTGTGGTATTCTGTGGCGCTTTGTTTTAAGACGCTGCTTTTTCGAGTTGCAGGAAGGGTTTGGCTTTTCTTCTTTTTGCAATGCAGGGAAAAAGAAACATTGCATTCATGCAAGAACTTCAGTGTCTGTTTGCTTTAATGCTGGGGACACGTCGTAAGTTTGTAGACCCTTCTGCAGCACTGGAACTCTTGAGGGATGCGTTTAGATCCGCTGAAGAACAGCAGGTAAAACCACGTTAAAAAGCCTTTTGCTTTCTTTGAAACAGCATTTGCAGCCACGGCAATCCTATTTCACTTCATCCTGCTGTTACTTTCAGAGGCGTCTCCCCATGTTTGTCAACTGACAAGCAGCTGTCCCTGTGTCATTTAGGCGAAATGTACGTGCTTGCTAATTAAACAGCCAGCCTAACAGTGCTCTACCCGGTGCCATCTGGGTAGTTGGGGAGCGATCGCAATAATTTCCTCTGATCTAGTTTTCAGATGAGCAGAGTGTTCATTATCGGTCTAAATCAGCACAGCACTTCAGTTTCACACTTCTTTCAGCTGGCAATATACGGCAATGGCTAGGTACGGCAATACCAGTCAGGTTGTATTCCAGTAGGTTTGAGAAACCAGTAGACTGTGGAAACGCTTTCTGGTTGGTACGACGCTTGACTCTCGACTTTTGTCTCTCTTCTAGCAAGACGTGAGTGAATTCACACACAAACTACTAGACTGGCTGGAGGATGCATTCCAGCTTGCTGTGGATGTCAGGTGAGTTTTTTGTGATCTCAGGAGTTTGACCTGATGCTGAGGAGAAGCAGATTTTTAAAGGCAAAGCCTTAAGAAATGAGAGGGCTTCACCTGAAAATTTTGAGTAAAAGAGAGAGAGTTCTTTGTTTACTGAGGATGATGCTCCTTAGGCTCGAAATATGCTTATGAAGCATTATATCTACATTTGCTGTATGTCAGCGTAGGACTTTATTGAATACCGATATGGCCTGCAGAGTAAATAAGCTTTCTAGGAGAACTCAACAAAAGCGGTGTACGTGAAGGATCCGGTTTCTTGGAACCGCGTTTCAAAAGGTAGTGCCTTAACTTCCCCCGCCCTCCTTGCCAGCGTAAGTGTTATAATGTGCCTTTGAGTACCAAAACAGATGAGAAGCTTCCTCTGTATTTTGTGCTTGGATGGAACACTTTACTTTTAACTGCAGGAAGATTCCCAAGCAAAGGCTTAGATTATGACTTGGGGCCTTTTTTTTGCAGCCTACAGCTGCAAAGGAATGCGTGCTTTTTCTTTCTCAAACAGGAGCCCTGGGGACAAATCTGAAAACCCAATGGTACAGCTTTTCTACGGGACTTTCCTGACTGAGGGTGTCCATGAAGGTGAGTTAAGGGTTTCGTAGATTCTCGTTGTAACTCCTTTGAGCGTTTTGAGTTACAGCAGTGATGATACAGGATTTTGTTGCGCGTTCCTGATGAAACTGCCTAGTTCTTTAAACTTGCAAATAGTCATCTCGATAAAATTGTCTGTAACATTTATAAAGTCTGTCTTCTGAAAACACTAAATACTCGCAAGTACTTACGTATTTGAAAGCATTCATTTATAAGGAGGCTTGCCCTGACAGACGTGTACACGCCTGTATGCAGTTTGGTTCTTGCAAGTTGCACCTCTGACTGGTGCTGACAGCAAACTCTTGAGTTCACCAGAATTTTTTGTTCTCTTAAGTTCATTCATCGTTTTTTGTATTCTTTCCATCATCCAGGCAATACTTTTTCCAAGATCGAAACCTTTGGTCAGTATCCCCTTCAGGTAAATGGTTATCGAAACTTGAATGAGTGCTTGGAAGGAGCCATGGTGGAGGGAGAGATGGATGAGACGAGAGCATCTCAGTCAGTGAAGTATGGACAGGAGGTTAGTTTTACCTTTTTTCAATCAGCTTTTAGTTGACTGCCTCAGAAAAACGTGACACACGTAACGCGGGGGTGTCTCAGTATCTTCTGATAACTTTAAACAGCAATCGTGAATGTTCCCTAAGAGTTGAATACAAAATATTTTCCGAATACCTGGAATCTCACGTAAATGTATGTGAGTGTTACATTGTGAAATGCTAAGACTTTACTTATTTGTAAAGATGTGTTGTCCTGTATAACGGGTTTGAGGAATTTGTTTTAAAATGAAAAGGTAAACATCTGCTTCTGATGCAAGTGTGATAAAGTCTCTCTCTTTCTGTTGAAGCCTACCTGTACCTGAGTAGGGGGAGAACCACTGCCTCCATATTTTCGGAGGGTAAAAGTACAGTGCTTAACTCTATGGTATGCCATTTGGAATTTGTATCTTTCTCCCTATTACGGTGTGTGGTTTTTTCTTCTCATTTTCACTCTTACCACCTGACTGTGCTGATTTTTATTTTTTTTTCTTCCCCCCAATCCCCCCCCCCAATCTCACAAATCACAAACCAATCATAAAATATTTAGTTGTGGCAGCGTAGAAAGTGAAGATGTACCATTAGATTCAGCATCCTACACGTGTAAGTGCAACTGAGAGGTTAGCTTAGAGAAAGACTGGGAAATAACGTTAAGAAATTTGCAAAGGCAATTAGCGTAGGGGGGGTGGGAGAGGAGTTTTAGTTCTGTGAGAATGCCTGAAAAATGCGTTGCTGTGGTTGTTTAAACTAGCAAAGAGAAATGAAGCCTTGGGCGGGTAGGCCCTGTCCGACTCTGGACTCAGATGCTTGTTTCTGGTTTCCCTGGTTCCTGCCTGAGGCCGTTCATGTGTGCATTTAGGGCAGATGTAGGCGAAACTGATAGAGGCTTGTGCCGAAGGGACGTAGGGAGCTCGTTGGGCAGGTTCTCTCCAGCTTTTCAGTTCCTCCAAATCCTTGTCCGAAAAATAAGGGAAATTGGATGGATAGAAGGAAAAGGCTCTGGCTTTATTGCTAAGAAATCTGACTGGAAAAACTGTGCATCTTGATTTCACTTCCCAGGATGTCGTGACTAGAGGACTGCCTGATAGGGGACGTAGAGAATAAGGTGCATTTTGTCTTTTGAGAACGTAGGTGAGTGTACTGAAGCTCAAAGCATCAGTGGGACTAACGAGAACTTATGTTTCTCCCAGGTAATAGGTGTGTACATCATTCCTTCTCCGTGTTTATGTTCTCTTGTTCTGAAGATTAGGCTTCTTGTCAAAAAGCTCTGCTACCTGGCCATTTCCTTCCAAATTTTTTTCAAAATGATAATGAAAAAAGAAATTTGCCTTCGTTGGAAATATTTTAGATCTAAAAACGTGCTTGTTGCGCTTGTGGCTTGTTGCCACAGATTTATTGTGGCAGGACGTCTGAGGTAAATCCTGCAGATAAGGAAAATGAGCTTGGTGTGCTCATCCCGAGTCCAGCATGGAGCATTGTCTGGGTGATGCCTGCGAAGGAAACTTCTGGAAGTGGGTGCTGGAAGTATTTGTGAACCCGGGGAGAGAGAGAGGAAGTGTAAATTCAAGCGAGAATTTTTTCTTTCAACATGGCCCTCTGAAACAGTATATGAAATGTACAGAATGCAAGCGTCTCCCCTGAATCTCCTAAACCGAGTAGTTTGCAAATAGACTGAGAGAGGATAAGGAATCGGGTACTGCTTGAGGACTTCTGGTTTTGTTCATCATCGTTGCATGTGATCTACATTGGAAAAGAACTCTCTTGGAGGCTCTTAGGTGACGTGCGGAGTTTGTGTAGTCTCCGCTAATTCTGTAAAATTCAGTGCTGGACCTGTTAATAATCTGTCAAGCTGGATGTGTCAGGCAATGAAAAGTAACTTTCTGAAAGCGATTATGAGGCTTTTTCATGGTAAAAATGTAAAATGGAAGCAGAAATTTTAATCTCGTAAAATTTGGCTTTCTGACTAGTCACTCTGTGAGCAAAATACAGACTAAATCATTATTTAAAGACAGACAGTCATTTAGGATCGGTCTAAAATCATTTAGGATCAGTCAAAAATGTGCTATTTAGCAGTCCTCTTAAAACAAGTCCCTTTGGGGGCATTTCTGCTTTTGTTGCAGCGCTGGTTTACAAAACTCCCACCAGTACTGACCTTTGAACTCTCCCGATTTGAGTTCAATCAGTCACTAGGACAGCCAGAGAAAATTCACACCAAGCTAGAATTTCCCCAGACTATTTATATGGACAGGTGAGTTGTTCTGTGGTACGGTATGTTTAAAGCTGTTGCCTTATTGTAATTATGGAAATTAAAAAGGTCGTATGGGTGAGCAAGGAAGGATTCTAAAATATTTGTGAAAGATGTTAGAAGCAAACAAGTCTGACACGGCAGGGCTCTGTATTTCTCTGTTTAGGTACCTCTACAGCAGTAAAGAGCTTATTCAGATGAAGAGAGAAGAAATGAAGAGATTGAAGGAGAAAATGGTGATTCTGCAGGAGAAACTGGAAAGGTAAGTAGTCATCTCCATTTATTTTTGTGCCCTGTGGAGCTGTGCAAGTGCTTCCTTTTAAACAAGCTTTCTCACAGAAGAGACACTTGTAGGGGAAGGAGAAACAGAACCAGGTTTGTTCCGAGAAGCGTGGAGTGAAGAAGTGTGGTTTTAAAAACAAACTCGTGGCTTTGATGGTTTCTGAGTATTACTGGTGCTGTTACAAGAATAAATTCTTTAAATAGTAAAATGGCCACCGTCAGCTGCCTTGGCAAGTTTTGGGGAAGAAGCCCAGTAATACGTTTAAAAGAATCTACATATTTATTCTTTTTTTATATCAGAGGTCCCCTCCAGCTTAGAGTTTGGTGGTGTTCATTGGGGAGGGAAGGAAATCGATAGGAAAGATCTGGTTTGTGGACAACCAGAAGATCTCATGTTCCAGGTGCTTTGTGTAAAAGTCCTTTTAATGGACATGAAGCTTGCATACAGCTTGCATCTTTAAAATGACGGTTCTGCAAACAAGTGGCAGGCAAAGAGGTGTGCTGCGTCACAGTAGCCCTGATGGTCTCTGTCCTCGGTGAGGTTCTGGCGGGTGTGGTGGAAACAGTTGATATTTAGACCTGTGCGACCCAGCCAGGGTCGGGTTGGGACAGAGTTAACAGTCTCCATAGCAGCCGGTTTGGTGTTGCATTTGGGTTTTGCGACTAAAACGGTGCTGATGGCACAGCAGTGTTTTGGCTGCTGCTGAGCAGTGCCCTGCAGCCTCCAGGCTCTCAAGGTCCGCTGGTGGGAGATGGTGAGTTGGGTCCCGTGGCATCACCTGGGTTTTTCCCCTCCTTCCTTCATGGCTTAAACTGTCTCCATCCTGAGCCAGGAGCTTTCTTCTCTGTCGCTCTTCTGCTGTCCCCTCGGGTTTAACCTGTCATGTTCCTTCATTCGTGCAACACCTTGCATTGTTTTCTAGGTACATGAAATACGGCTCTGGCCCGGCCCGCTTTCCGCTGCCTGACATGCTACAGTATGTTCTCGAGTTCATCGCGACAAAGCCAGCTGGAGTTGTTTCTCCTACTCAGGGCTCTCGGACAACGGTCCTGCAGTCCCAAGCCGAGCCTCACGTTTTGGACGTGCTTTCGCAGCCAAATGGGTTAGTAAACAGAAATAAAGACTTTGTAGGGGAATGTTTTGCCTTTCAGCTCAACGCTCCTTGTTGGCATGCTAGAAGTGGGTTACTTATCTGGGCGCTTGTCAGCGTGCTGCTGTAATGTAGGAATGCCTGTGCAAGTGGTTGGTCGCTGCCTTGCTCCTAGCTAGGTTCTCTTTGTGTAAATATGACGCTGCATCTAGTCTGTTCTTTTTCCTTTTCCAAAAGCATCACCATGTTCCTTATCTAAGCAGCAATTCTGAGTTAAATGATGTGCTCTTTTTGGATAGGTTACTAATTTTTTTGCTTCAGCAACCAGTAAATTACTGCAGTATTGGATTATTACAAACCTGGCCAGCACGGTTGATTTACACTGTGAATTAAGCTGAGTAAATACATGAGTTTCTTAGTAGTAAGGGAAGGAATTTTTAGAATTGCTCATTGTGGGTCGGTGCTTACAGAGTTCTGTAACAATTTTTGCTTTTATTTGTCCTATATTTTAATTCGGACTGTTCAGGCAGAAGTACGTTTCAACGTACTTGTTCTCTTTATGTTTTGTACCCTCCTGGAAGAGCAGTCCTGCTCTGGCTCTGGAGTACATTTTGTTTGGTGTATTTCATGTTCTTTTCCAAAAAGAGAAAAAAAACAAGAGAAAGATTGAAAGACTTATCCACTGTTCTTGTATTTTGCCTCACAGCTTAGTAGAAAGGGACGACGCTCAGACTGAAGATGGAGCTTTCTCTTTGGCAAATTCTTTGCCGCAGCCAAACTCGAGGATGCCGCTCCAGCCTTCTGGTTCGCCGGCAGAAATGTCGGAACGTCTGGCTCCCCGCATGGTTTCCGAGGAAGAGCTGAACCTTGTTCGGACGTGTCTGCAGCGATGGAAAAACGAGATCGAACAAGACGTGCAAGGTTGGCCCGAAATGTGTTCGCTGCAATTTTCCTGTTGAATGCCAGCCTGATTTCCCCTCTTGCTTTGGCTGGATACCTCCTGAACTACAAAGAATCTTGTACATGTTTCAGCTCTGGTGTTAAGTGTATTTGATGGTTACTGCGCGGCTTCAAACTTGTTGAAGTGAAAGTGGCTGGAATAGCCTCATGAGTAGTCGTTCATTTTTATGTATTTCTTTCATTCGTGATGTTCTTGGCAGATCTGAAGGAGTCTATTGCCAGAATCAACCTGTCCATTGAACAAATGTATTGTGACCCCCTCCTCCAACAGGTAAGAAATGCAGCTTCATGAGGTAAATATTAAACTGGTATTGCCGGTACTGGGTTTTGTTAGCAGCTGTCAGTTTAAATTGTCCGCTTTGTTGTACTTAAAAAGTCCCTGCGATGAAGCAGAGAACAAATTCTTTATGAAAATCTCGTTGCTTTTTCCTTTAAAAGTCACTTCTCACTCAGTAGGAAATCTACCGTATGAATCAAGAGTCTTGTACCAGGCTACAGCTATGAATGCATGTGCAATTTTTGTGCAGAGGTCAGGCAAACATCATTTACTAAAAGTAACACCTGAAAACTCCGTCCATGTGAACTTGCAGGTTCCCTATCGTTTGCACGCAGTCCTGGTACATGAAGGGCAAGCAAACGCTGGTCACTACTGGGCCTTCGTATACGACAAGCCTCGAAAAAGCTGGCTCAAATACAATGACATCTCGGTGACAGAATCGTCGTGGGAAGAACTGGAGAGAGATTCATTCGGAGGCTTGAAGAACGCCAGTGCCTACTGCCTCATGTACATAAGCGATCAGGTGCCCCTCTTTGTTGCAGGTACTGGAGCCAAAACTGCTGGTTAGGTAGACATTTGTGTGTCATCACGTCTCTCTAGCCCGCACGGTTGTTAAGTTCCTCAGCTTCTGTTTGGCACAGTTGCCTTTTGACAATGCAAAAAATCTCACCCCAGGTAGAAGCGAAATCAGTTGCTCTGTGCTGGCTTCATCTCTAAATCCCTGGTAGGGCTGAAAACTGAAGAACTGTACTGGTGAGATTAGGTACAGTATTTCAGGTGTTATTAATGTGCATAAATATTCAAGCTCCCCCTTTGTCGCGTTCAGCATGCATCTAGCACTGGTGTTTTCGCTTTGACTCCTTATATAGTTTATGCGACAGTGTTCCTTTCATAAGGACACTTCTCGCATTTTTATCACACTTTCTGACTCCTTGGCTTGTTTTTTAGCGGTGCCGTCGTATCGAACCTAAGCGGGGCCCTTCTTTTATGCAGCCTTTTCTAGGGCATGAGTTATTGGTAGCAGTGGCTTAGACTCACAAGCGTGTTTGCAGTGCCAATGTATAAATAGTTGTGCGGAGAAATTATTGTGCACGTGGCACTATACATGGCAAACAGCTGTAGAAGAACCTAATAATTTCACGCGTGGTTCATTTTGATGTAATAAATAGAAAGAAACAATAGAGAACTGTCATTCTGTTCGTTGCTAAATATGGCTGATGAGGATCTGGAGGTTGTTCTTTGTCTCTCTTCCTGTGGCAGTTCTGTTTCTGAAATGAACCCATGGTTGGTTTGGTGTTTTCCCCCCCACCTCCATTCAATGCCATTTTTGTTGTTTTTTAAAGATGCTTTGCTTTTACAAGGGATGTGTAAGAAATATGGTGTGTAGAGAATTGGCATTTGCTCTTGATCGATTTCAGGACTTGTCTAAAGCTGATACGGCTTGGGGTTTGTGCTGTTTTAAAACTGAATACTGAAGTAGATCTAAAAAGTGCTGAGAAAGGCCAGCGTGACGCTCATGCTACAGAATCCATGCAGTTCCCTGCCTTTATATGCTGTGTAGTGTGGTAGGTGTGATATCTCCAGCCCAATTGTGAATTTTCCGGCTATTGGCAGTTGAAATACTGTTCTCTGTACAACTGTTGCCCTTGAATAAGGATGTATTCCTGCCCTGCTGCATCAACAGGTGCTGTTTCTGGAATTTCTCTGTGATAAATGCTGCCCAGTGGTTCAACAACACAGGTTTTGGTTTCAGATAACTATGTAGATTTGTCTTCATTTTTGCACTTTTGCTTACGAACTGCTTAAATTACAAAGCTAGTAGAAAGTTGGGGTTGGTTTTTTTCTCCCTGTTTATCCCTCAGCCAATTTGAGGGTGGCTTTCCATAATATTGCATCTTTGTTTAGTCTCTAATGGTGGTGTCCTGCTGCTTTGTGTTTCCTTATATGCCCCTGCGTTTCTTCCAGAGGAGGACGACGGCTCAGAGGTTGGGCAGTTTCAGAAGGAAGTCGAAGCCTTACCCCCAGAGCTGAGACACTACATCCAGGAGGACAACTGGCGACTCGAGCAGGAGGCAGAGGAGTGGGAGGAAGAGCAATCTTGCAAGATTCCTCAGATGGAGCCTTCGCCTGCTTCTGAATCGCAGGACCTCTCTTCTGAATCAGGACCAGGTGATAACCGCGTCTGAATTCGCAAACCGTGTTGAAACTGGTCACAGGCAGCTGGTCACAAATAGCACTCTGCTGGAGCCATCCATAGATTTCTAGATATCTGTCCCGGTCTGGCTAAAACAGGACCATTTCTCCTTTTGGTAGATTTTCCTTCAGTGAAGTTTCTTCTAAGTCACTGCGCTTTCTGAAGCCGGCTACATGTTTTTCAGACAGCGGCTGCCTTCAGAATTGGTAACGCTTGATGTTTATAATTGCTACTAAAGTAAGGGCAGGATCAGTATGCAGAAAGGCCCACGTTTATACTTGTTTCTGTGGGAATCAAGGTCACCGCTGACTCTCTCATGTTAAGCAAGTGAAAAGATGTAAAAGGGTCGTGCCTGCGGGGAGGTGTGGGCGGGACAGGTGACCAAAAACTGTCCAGCGAGGGATTCCATCCCATCCACGTCACACTCGGTATAAAGCTCAGGGATCAGGGGAGCCAGCCCTTCTTTCATGGCCGGTATCCCTGTGGGACCCCGCTCCCTCTCCTGCCTCCGCTCCCGATCCATGCATTCCTGAATCCGGTTCCCATCTGCTGCCGAGTCCGGCCCGGGACATACCGTTGCCCACCCTGCTGCTCCGTGATCATCATTGAGAAGCTCAGTATTGGTTTTCTATATTTCTATTAGTAGTAGTATTAGTATTAACATTATTTTACTCTTTTTCATTGTTAGCGTTTGATTGAAGTAGTTTTCATTTTGCAACCTGTAAGTGTCTCTCCCTTTTCTCCTCCCCATCCCCTTTGGGAGAAGAAGGAGTTAATGGAGAGCATCTGCCGTCCGCTTTAATTGCCAGCCCAGCCTTAAACGGTGACAATATCTAGGAGAAACTGTTGATGAAGTAGCAAAGGCAGCTGGTGGAAGCTCTGTCCTGGCAATTCCAAAGGCTCTTCTCCTATTTTTGCATGCGCGTCCTTCCAGGCTTGTCACCAGAAATGCTGTTTTCCATTCATTTAATCATAATGGGCTAATCTCATTTCACTTCCAGACTTTTTTTTTTAAAATAAATTTTCAGTAGAGAATGTTCGAGTGCTGTTCTCTGGAGCAGGAAAGCGTTACTTGGCAATCGCTGACAGTTTGTGCCATGCCCACTGGAAAAGGGGTATATGCACAAGCTCACGGCGAAACACCCTCACCTCTAGGATGAACGCAGCAGCTGTTTAATCCTGCATAGACAAGCTGCGCAGCGTTTTAGAATAGGATAGGAGAAGTCGTCCTGCGGTTCATGCTTGCTGATATGACACCTCTGTCCTGACAGATCAGTCTTCAGTCTGTGAGCGGAGCGTGCGCTCCCTGTCCTCCGAACACGCCATGATTGCCAAGGACCAGACTGCCAAGGCCATTGCCAACACCGCCGACGCCTATGAAAAGAATGGCGTGGAAGCAGCTCTCTGCGAGGTAGGAGCTGAGCCCTGGCCCAGGAAGCAACCTGTTCTTGTCTTTGTATTCTTCTTCTTGAGACCTTTGCTTTTTCCGTTTCTGTGTGGTTCTGTAGCTGTGCCACGATGAACTCGGTTCCCTCTTGCTTTCCTGTGTTCGGCTTTGGTTTTTCTTACTCTTTTTCTTCTTTTTCTTCTTGGCCACAGCCCAAGGAGGTTTAGCCAGTGAAGGCCCAACCGGGAGAAACAGCCCTTATGCTTCAGGCAGAACAACCACAGGATGCTAAGGAAACAGAGTCTGCTGCCCAAACTAGCTCCCAGGTCTCGGAAGTGGAAATCCCCAGTGTGGGGAAGATTCCTGTTAGATCCGATGCAGATGGATATAATGAGGAGGTACAGATAGTAGCGCAGGGGTTAATTGCTGCCAGTCATTAACCTTTAACTGTGTAGTCAGCTGGCTTTGAGCTTTCCCAAGACAGGGTACCATAACAGTCTGGCATGGAAGCAACGCTGTTCACAAAGTGCATTTTCCCGCTGCAGAAAGAAATTAAGAAGGCCAGACCAAATCGTTCAGTAATTTCATTTCTAAATGCCATCAGGAAAGCGGCTCTGTAAAAGCTCTCAATCATTAGATCTGCACGTTGGTCCTTTAAGCCTTCTGTCTGGCACAACTACCTCAAAATTGATCCTAGCTATATTAATTTGCTTGCAAGCCTCTTTATTGTCTCCGGTTACAGTTTCGTCCCCTCTCTCAAAGACATCGGCCACTAATAGCATAACTTACAGTACCCTCGCTACTGATCATTTTTGACTCTGACAATTTAACCACGCTCGTACGTACTCACGCGGCATTGCGGAGGTTCAGTCTCTGTCACAAGTGCAATTGGATTTCGCACAAACACCGAGACCGTTACTCCTTATAGGCTTGTGTGAAGTCGGCTCCACCGTAGGCACCGCTCTATTACTTGCATTGCTTAGGAAGATTGAGTGGGACACAGAGGGGATACGGCTGGTGTGCTTTACATTCTCACGTGTTGAATTTGCAAAGGCAAGGCTTGGAGCGACCAGCCTTTAGACCTTTAAGTGCTTAAAAAAAAAAAAAAAGCCCTGCATGTAAAGTGCATGTGATAGAGTAAGTGGCATACAAGTAAATCGCAGCTCTGGCTAATTCCACCTGTATTCGTGTGACTTCCTTCAAACCTTACCTTTTGAAAGTTTGTTTCCGTTCTTCACCATGCCTTCTCTTCTTTCCCTGTCTGTTACTGTTTCCCTTGTTCTCGTTTGTGTTTGTTTTCCTGCTTTCATGGTAGGTGATGCTGAGTCCGGCCATGCAAGGTGTCATCCTGGCTATTGCAAAAGCCCGCCAGACCTTTGATCGAGATGGGTCTGAAGCGGGTCTTGTTAAGGTATCTTACTTGTTTGCTAAATCCAATAGTATGGATATCCATTTTCGCAAAATGAGGAATCTATGCTCTGTTGACATATCAAGAATGTAAAGGGAATGATTCGTGCCGGTTTTCTTCCAGTTAATGGCCCTTCCGGCCTGCCTTTCAGTTTCTACTCTCTTATCGTGACAACGTATCTGACAATTTTTAGAGCTTGTAAGAAAGAGCTCCCTCCTCCCAGGCAAAATTACCGCCTTTTTTTCTTTTTTCCTTTTTTTTTTTTTTTTTTACTTTTCACTATTTTTTCTGCTTACTCTTTTAGTATTGGCAGCTCTCGATCTGGGGAATAAAAAGGAGACTTTCTTTGCCTGCTTTCCAGAACCTGTTGTCTAGGTCCTCGGTGTGATCATCAGAAAATAAACTGTCACTCGTGAATTTTGATTATTTTTTTTTTCCCCCTTGGTCCTGAACATGCACGCTTACTGTGACGTCTCTTGTAAAACGTGCCCTCGAGAATTGTATGTGTTGAACAGAGGGACTGGAAAGAATAAGCACTGCTGACTGTTGAAGCTGACGTTAGGTTTTACAGGCAGGTAGATTTAACTAAAAGCGCCGCATGGGGGAAATCACCCCTGCTATTAATCTGTATAAATATAAATCACAAGATATTCTTGCACCTTTACTACAGATAGAAGGGTATTACAATCAGTTTTTACAGCCTTGGCGCTCACAAGAGGATTACCAAAACTGCCGAAGGCAGCTATACACCCCCCTCTCTGAAAGGCATTTAGACACCTTGGCGCTTTTGGAAAGCACACGCTTCATGCGTGGGGTTTGCCTTGGGGATGCCTTTTGTTTGCAGTTCCAGGCACGCGTGGGCTTCCGTGCAGCACTGGAACATAACCAAGCAGCGGAGGCTAGGTATCGCCCATGGGAACCCTGTCGTTACAGGAGAGGTTTGGGCTTTGTGTCAGCTGCTGTGGCTTTCCCCGGGACAGCAGAGCGGACGCGATAGTACGTACGTTTCGTTGGCAGGCGTTCCACGAGGAGTACTCCCGGCTCTACCTGCTTGCCAAAGAGACCCCGACCCCTCAGAACGACACCCGCTTGCAACACGTGCTCATTTACTTCCTGCAGAACAATGCTCCGCAGCAGGTGGTGGAACGGACCCTTCTCGAGCAGTTTGCAGACAAAAACCTCAGCTACGATGAAAGGTTTGTGCCACCCACGCCAAGATGAGGCTTTTCCCCTGCGGAAGCAGGCAGGGCTGTCGTTCTGATTTTTCTCGTCTCTGCTTCCACGGAGCAGGTCAATTAGCATTATGAAGGTAGCACGAGCAAAGCTGAGAGAAATCGGTCCCGACGATGTCGATATGGAGGAGTACAAGGTAAGGGACCAGAGCACTGCCTTTGATCCTTCGCCCAGTCACAGTCACCGGCACAACTGTCAGCAGCTTCCTTGCTGTCCAAAGCTCCCGTCTGCAGAAGGACGCTGAAAAGGAGAAAGCATACGCTGGCAATCTCCTGAGCTTTGAGGAATGTCTGTGCAGTTGTCTAAATTGATTTACGTGTCGCTTAGGAGAGACATTTAAAACCTTCAAGGGCTAAATTCTGATAGGCTTTTGAGTTGCAAAGGAACGTAAAACACGTGCGTGTTACAGGCAAAGCTGACGCTCTGCTTTCTTGCTGCTCCCCAACAGAGATGGCACGAAGACTACAGCCTTTTTCGCAAGGTGTCAGTTTACCTGCTGACGGGGTTGGAGCTGTACCAGAATAGCAAGTAAGTTACTTTTATTTGTGCGTTTGGGCAAGAGAAGCTCTAGCCTGAAAGTAAAGGCCATTTTGACAGACCAACTTCTTGATGTTGATGGCCCATTTGCGTTCAGTCTTACCTTTGAGGCCAACAGGCTTTCTTTTCGGCTTGCTAACAGCCCTGTTGGGAATCCACAGTCAACCTTGATGAACGATTTAAATATTATGCCGAGGTACTCGCTAGCTGTCTGACAGTTTCTTGGCGTTTCCCTTAATTTTTCGCTCCGTGAAGCAGAGCTTTATATTCTTATTTCCAGACACGGGTTTGCAGGAGTGATTGCCATTGCCTTTTATTTATTTTTTTTTTCCGCCCACTTCGAACTCCTGTATTAAAATTAAACTGTCTTGAATTGGAGGTTATGCTTTGTGTAAACACACACTTTGGAGTACTCTAGACTCTCAAGAATGTTAAAAGGGCCTTGTTTTCCTCCTTGCTGTTTTAGAACCTGTATTTTACAGAAATAGGGCAGTGTGGAGAAGGACAGTGCCCTTTTATGAAAGACTGGTAATTTGAACAGTGATTTTTCCAATCTGGAAAATAAACTGGCTTTCAGAAATTATTCATGGATGGAAACAGAGTTGAATTCTGAGGCGGTTAGCCAGGATGAGCCACCAAATTCAGGTGGGCAAATTGACAAGAGGCTGGGCGGGAGAGCCTGGTAGAGCTTCCCTGAATTGACCTTATCCCTGTCAGCCGTTTTGTTTTCTCACCAGGGGGGGTTACAAGCAAGAAGTACGTAAAGGAACTGCAAACATTACCTTCTGCACTTCTTTGAGCCTTCTCTCAAAGTGCAAGGTTCCCGGAGCAACACAGAACTCATCAAGGCTGGCCGAGTTGTGTACAAACTTGGCTTTAAAGGGCTCTTCCTAAGATGCTCCTTTGGCATACTGGGCCGAAAGGCATGTTAATTACTTGGTGTAGGGCAGCTGCTCATTTATGCTTTGGCAAGGAAATAAAGTTTTTCCTGTCGGGCCCCATGCTAGGTACCAGGAGTCGCTCACCTACCTGGTCTACGCCTACCAAAGCAACACCAAGCTGCTGAGGAAAGGAACCAACAGAGGAGTGAACGAATCGCTGATCGCCTTGTACAGAAGGAAGTGTCTCCTGGTTTGTATGGAGGAACTTGACGCTCATTCTTAGAGGGGAGGGGAGGGGGCAGTCTGGGTGACGCTGACTCCTGCGGTGCAGTTCGCTTACCGACTGCTTGCTGTGTGTTGCCCAGGGGATCAGACCATACTGTATCCCCTTTTAGGAGCACCCTTAATTAATGTGCTGCGTTTTCAGGGAAGGTTTGGATGCTGCTGAACACACTCATGGGTTTAACTCAGTGCTTGTGTTGTTAACTCAGTGGTTGCATTGTTCTCTGTCGGTTTGCTCCTTCCACCCCCACCCCCAATATTTATTTCTAATGTTAATGGCTTCCTCTCTCTGAGCAAAAGATGATGTCCTTTTCCCCAGGGGGCAAAAGGAGAGCATAAAAATGAGGCTTTGTTTTTTAGTTCACGCTCCATGGTTGCCGAGAGCAGCGTAACTGTCTCTCTTGTGCCTATTAACTGTGGCTTCTGCCCCTGACCAAGTACCAGCAGTAGTATGGAAATCCAGGAAGTAATAATTCCATGAAATAATGTGCCTGACGGCTCTCGGAGAATCTGGGTAAAGGCAGATCCATGCTTGCTTTTTACAAGTCTGGACCCTGGTTCTCCCTCCTCCCCTAGAAGCTGAACGAGGTGGCAGCATCCCTCTTCGTAAGTTGTGAAGAAGCTCGCGTGGCAGAGGGCATTAGCATCCTGAACGAGCTGATCATCCCCTGCATGCACCTCATGAACAACTTCGAGATCTCCAAAGAGGACCTGGATGCCATCGAGGTCATGAGAAGCCGCTGGTGCTCCTATTTGGGGCGCGAAGACATGGACGGTAGGGATCGGCTGCTGGCCTTGCCTTTTTTGTGCCGTTTGTGGGCAGGGCAGCATCTCGATCTGAACGAGGAAGGAATTAAAGGACCGTTTAAAACTCTTCCTTCAATTCCTGGCATTGGCACTGTAGCATGTTGGGGTCCTTCAGAGTGCGAGAAGAGAAATGCATTTGAATCATCTATTGAATTATGGTATGGAAGAATTTAATCTTCCTTTGCACCAAAGACACAGGAGGATTCCTCTTCCCTGAAATGCGAAAAGTTAATTTGAAAAGAATGGCGTAGCGTTATCTAGATGTGTTTTGGTTTTCTGTTCCAAGTGGAGGTCTCCCTGCAGATGGCAGGTGAATGCCGATGGGCTTGATTGCGTAGGCATGCTGCTCACCGGGAGGGAGGAACAGGTTTTATTGGTGGCCAGGAACATGGCCAGAGTTGCAGAGGACCAGATGAGGCAGCAGCTTCAGAGGATCTTTGCATTCTCAAGAGAGGTTTGTCAGTTTAGAGCTGATTTTTGGTTCTGGATAGCTGTTCTTGTTCTGTATTGTCCTTCTGCAACCTGGAGTCGGGCTCCCATGACACCCCTCAGGTCATTTTGGTTGAGAGAAACGGGGTTTGACCCCACCTCGATCTGTCCGGACGATGCCTGCTCAGTACAGGCTGCCATGCCGAAGTACGAGACGTGACAGGCTGTAAAGCATACTCCGTTTCCTTCACGTGCAAAGTCAGCGTTTGAGCGTCGCCTCGAAGCGCGTAGTTGCTTCTGCCTTGCCAGCCAGTTCAGGGCCTTTTCTGGGAAAAGGCGATACCCCGGGGGGACGCGGCACCGTCCCCAGGGCAGCCAGGTGGCAGGGGAGCTTCTCTCTGTTCAGGGCGCCCTGGGTCGGCGGGCAGGACTCCAGGACGGAATGAGGGAGTGAGGTCCAGGCGGGCGGCAGCTGGTGCGAGGCCTCCTCTGCGTCAGCAGACGCTGCTCGTCCCCGCCTGCAGGCGATGGGCAGCTTTCAGCGCTGGAAGATGATTCTCTGAAAGGCGTCATAGGTTTTTAGCTCGCAGCCCCGGAGCCCTCTGCCATCTGCTCTTTTACTCTTGCGGTGCCACTGACTCTTTCATCCTCTCCCCTTTGACAGCAAAACTGCAGATGAAGCTCGGCGAGTTACTCCCCCGGCTCCTCGACTGCTCCACCGAGGTCATTGTTCTGAAGGAGCCCCCGAAGATCCGGCCCAACTCCCCCTACGACCTCTGCAGCCGGGTTGCAGCCGTGATGGAGTCCATTCACAGGGCCTCGACCGTGACGGTGAAATAGGCTGCGGGCTCCCCGCTGTGAGGTGGTACGCACCGGGGTCCTCCCTTTGGGCCGTGTTTGAAAGGGAGAGGGAAGAGCAAGGGGCAATTTGGATTCAGAGCTGTGTTCTTTGTAAATACGAACGAATAAAAAGCGGTATTGCACTTTTGAGATAAGACGTGAAGTGGTAACACAAAGGACCTGAACCACTGTTCTCGTGTGGCACGCCAGCTCCCTGGCAGCACCGCCTGCCGTGGGGTCCCCAGGCCGCCTCGAGAGGAAAAAACGTTCTAGACGCTGCTCCCTCAGCCTGTGACGGCAGCCAAGCGAGGGACTGGCTCCTCTGAGTGAGCCGGGCTATGAGCCACCATCGATCTGTCAGGCACGTTTAAATCTTCCGGAACGATTAGCTACCGGAGATTATACATTCAGATCTCGCCGAGCTCCCGCTAGCAGGAGTCGGGGCTGTGTGATGAGGAAGCAGGGGGGAATGGTGGCTCGCGCGCTCTATCCTGTGGGTAGCCGTGTGTGCCGCTGCATGTTTTAGTCAAGTCGAGCAGGCGTTTGCCTTTTGTATTTTAACTGGCAAAAGAAAATACGCAGGAGCCTTCCTCTGAGAAAGCCACAAGCAAATAGCGGCAGCGACAAGAGACAGGACCGGGCTGCAAAGGTCGGCTCCCGCACAGCTGTGCTACAGCAATAGCTTACTGGTTAAGGGGGGGAGATCCCACCACCCCAAAGGACATTCCCCTCTCTGGTCGGAAGGCAAGCTGCCTTCTCACCTCGGGGCCGGGGGAGCATTCAGTGCCCGATTAGCGCTGATGACAACTGCGAGGGCTGGAATCGGCTCCCTTTTGCGAGGGGCGGGGGGGCGGTGGTGTTTAATTGACTTTCTGTAAAAAATGTGGCCCGCTCCCGCTTCCTTCTGCGGGCAGAGCCTGTTACTTGCGTTTGAGCTGCAGCAGTTGCTTTACACCAAATGTTCCGAGTAAGTGGAGGGGGCGATCCCTGTTTGTTAGGACTATGCAGATTTACCGAAAAGTGCAATAAAAGCATTTGTTCTATGTTAGAATGAAAGGGCTCCCTCCGTGTTTTTATTTCGCTCCAGTATTACTCCTTAAGATGAAGATTTTACCTGCTGCTTGCTGGCATCGCTCTGGCCACATGCAGATTTCTTGCCAGCAGCGTAGGAGGGAGATGCACCGCCCGGGTGAGGCTTTCCTCCAACAAATTAGATGTTTCTAGGACATGTTCCTAGTACAAAATGTGTTGTCATTAGCAGAGCTGGCTTTGAATGGGATTGTCAGCACCGTCCCACCGTTCGGTCTGTGTGCGTTTCCCCGTTATTTGGGAATAAGTGGCTCCCATGGGAGAATCTTCCGTTCTCCCGGTTCTTTTACAAGCAAGCAGCAGCACCGTTATCTGCAGAGACTCGAGCTGTCCGTATCCAAACAGCGAGCCGTGCCTCTTCCAGGTAACGGGATGCCACAGAGCTGGGGCTACTGCTTTTTCAGCTTTTTTTTCGCCGTTGCCATGACAGAGAGCTGAAGGGTGGGAGCTGCGACTTAACTTCTCGGGGTACTTTGGCTGCAATGGATCAAAACATTGAACTTTGGAACAGAGACCCCGGGGCCGTGACACGGCGTGCTCAGAAGCTGCCCTCGCTCCTCCCAGCCGGTGGACCTCTCCTAATTTCCAGACTGCTTTTGCAATGCTGTTGTGTCATTCTGACTTGCAGGCAGCGGGATGTGGTTTGGGGAGAGGATCCTGAATTAGGAGAATCCGGTTATTCCAACTGTCATGAGACGGTAGCTTTGCCCCGTTCTCTGTGGTACTGCCAGAAAGTGAAATATCCAGCCGATGTCCAAAACCTGCTTTAAGAAAAAAAAAAAAAAAATACGGAAAGGCTTCTCACGTGCGCAGTTTGGTGCCTGGAAAGCAGTGATACTTGGATGGGGCTGGAAGGGAGCAGTGTCACGGCCGGGGACAGTCTCTTTCCTCTCTCCCTGCCCACCTGCTCCTTTCTCTCCTCTTCGGCCGAGCAAAGTGCAGGTTTCAAAAGGGGACTTTGGGAGGAAAGCAGACTTTGCCTTCCCCCAGGAACGCCAGTGTCGGCTGGGGGCTTCCTTGAGTTCGGTCACGCGCCGGCGGCTTTCAGCCTGTGGGGACTAAACCGGTGGTGACCTCTGGTTTTAACCGGTGCTGTAGCAGCGGGCTGCCTTCTGTCGGGACCCTGGGTGTTGATGCAGCCTGACGTGCCGCGCTGCTGGTTGCAGAGGCATGCAAGAAGGCTGGCTTTTTACAGCTGAAGCGGGGAAATGTGGAAGAAACAGTAAGGGGGACCTGCAAAACACTGCTCTGGCCTCTTGTGCACAGGTAGGCGATGCAGTTGAGGAACTCTCTGCACGAAGGCCTGTGGCACGCTTAACGGCTTTACCATCTTAGCTGTGAGAAGACGAGGCTGCCGCAGGGGATGCGGCCACTGGCATCCTGCCTTAGCAGCCGGAGGCGTCTTTGGTGCCAC